CCTCTCTCTCCCATCTCTCGTGGGGTCTCGCTCCCATCCCCCACTCGTCTCACTCGTCTCGTCGTACCTATCTTATCGTATCCACCTCCGTGTTTCGTTTCGCTCAGCTTCCTCCCAGAAAATGTCTGCATACCGTCGTACCCACCCTCGCTACACTCCCTCCGGTCCTTCTGGAACAAACTTGAATGCCGCCTTCAAGGCTGCTCCTACTGCCGCTGCAAAGACTGCAAACTCATCCGGTAAGCGCAAACAGTGCTCCCCCCCACCTGGCGTTTCCTGACTCCTGACCTACTCTTATCTAGGCGTCGTTGTCCTGGGTGGTGGCCAAAAGCCCAGGCTTCGTTCCACTCTCGTCGCCGCCCCCAAACCCGTCGACATTCCTAGTCTCCGCACAGAGAGCTCGTCGGCCGAGGTCAAGGCCACCACCAAAGTCGCCGACGGTGCTCCCGCTGCAGTCACCAGCGGCAACACCACCACCACTACTACCCCTAGCACTACCACTAATACCATAAAGCACATGACCAACACCGCCGCGGCCGAGACAGCTGCCACCAAAGGGCCCCATCACCCGGCCTGGGCAAAGGTACCTATGCAAGTGGCTTCGACCGCCTCCGACTTTCCCACGGCGGCCGAGGCCAACGCCAGCAAGAGGTACAGCACCAGGCGGTCCCACACTGGCACCCAGAACGCGACGGCCAACACCGGACGACAACAGGCAGTGGCGCTGACGGCCGAACCCTTGGACGGCCCGCACACCTGGGTCGACGACACTGGGGAGATGGACTACTCCCAATTGCCCGTCTTCCCAGCCTCCACCACCGTCCAGCAGGTCTCTGCCCCCGCCCCCACCTCGGCCCCTGCCGCTGCCCCTCAGACACCTCCCAGCTCTCAGAACGCGGCCGCCACCACCACCGTTTCTCACCCTCCGGCTGCCGCCGCCGCCGCCTCTCACCCTCTGGCTCCCCAAGCCGCCAACGTCCCTGCTCGCTCCGCTCCTCCCGCCCCCGCTCCCGCCGCCCCGCGCCCCGCCGCATCTGGCCGCATGCAGCAGCAAGTCAGGAACGACTTTCTGACCAAGAATCCCCCGCAGCTGCTGCAGCGGCGAGATGCGCCTCCACCGCCGAGACAGCAAGGGCGCAGGGGGTCGTTCCGATCGGGCCCACCGGCTTCCGCTGGCGTCTCCTCTACCCCGGCCAGCACCTCGGTGCCGCGAGGCGGTGCACCTCCAAAACAGCGACAGATTGTCCCTCCGGTGTACCGCGCGCCCCCTCCCGCCAACCCGATGGTGCTGGCCTTTATCAAGAGGAACCAGGAGCACGCTGCCAAGCTCGCTGCCGAAGCGGAAGCCAGGTGGGCCATTGACGTTGCCGAGCGAGCGGCCAAGAAGAGGAAGGAGGAGCTGGAGGCCGCAACCCAAGTCCCTTTGCCGCCCTCCCCGCGACCCTTGTCGCCGGCATCGGTCGCCGCCCAGGCCCTCCTTGTGCCACTTCCTCTGTCCCTTCCCCCCTCGCCGCCTCCCTCCCTTTCGGCCGCCACCCCTGCCGCCATCCCTGCCGCCATCCCTGCCGCCACCCCTGCCGCCACCCCTGGTGCAGCCAACGGGCCGTCCGCCCCCATCGCTCGGGCTCCCCCCTCGGTCGTCAGAGACGCCGTCCCGAGCGGTAGGCCGGCGGTTCCCACTCCCCGCGCGGCCAAGAGGCCCACCGACGCAGGGGACGTGAAGGGCTGGCAAGAGTGGGAGGCAGCCCAACGGGTCGAGGGCGCCCGCCTCGACCGGGAGCGGGAGGAACGCCGGCGTAACTTTGCCTCCAAGGCCTGGCAAGTTACCCGCCCAGCTCACTTGGCGGCGATCGAAGCCGCCGTCGAGGAAGAGGCCCAGCGGGCCGAGGGTTGGCACCGGGCCGAGGTGGAGGAGCTCACCCTCCTGTACGAGCGCCAGATGGCCGTCTTGGTCCAAAACGCCCACGACGAGCAGATCGCCTTCTCCCGCAAGGCGGCCGCCGACGCCGCGCGGATCGCCGAGCTGGAGGCCGATCTCCAGCTCAAGGACAATGCTCTCACGGCATCCCGCGAGCATGTGGGTCGCCTCGCCCACAAGCTCGCAGCCAACGAACGAGCAAAGTCCGAGGCGATCGAGACAATGAAGAAGAAGGTGGAGGAGCACGAAGCCAAGGTGCTGGCTAGCGACCTCGAGCGGACGACGGCCCAAGCGAACGCCACAGCGACACTGGCTGCCGCCGTCACCCGGGCTGAAGTCGCCGAAGCCAGCCTCGCCGAAATGCGAGCACGGCTGCAAGCGACCGAGGACCGCGTGGCGAGCCTGGAGGCCAAGGTGGCCGACACCGTCACCGCGTTGGAAGTCGCCAACAGGCGCAGCCCAACTGCGGAGATCGGTACGGCCACCGAGCCCCGATGGTCTGCATCCCCGCGACCAGCCTCCAGCCCAGCCAGTGGGGCGTCGTCCTCGTCAGCACCGGCTTCCCCTTCGCGAGCTCCCCAGCCCGCGCACCAACCAAAGTCCCTTTACCAGCCGCCTGCCGTACGCAATCGTCGGCCGGCTGGTCCCACCAACAGCCTTGCGACGAGCCGACCGCGCACAGCGGCTCCCCCCATTGTGCGCCCGGCCGTCGCGCCCCGTCCGCCAACACCGCCGCGGATCAAGAAACACTGTACGCCCAGCGGCTTTACGGTGACGATCGGCCCGGCAAAGTGATGTCCCCCCATCACTTTCGCATTGTCACCAAGAGGCTGGCTCCCCCTGGCGTCGTGTTTCCGGTGTTGTGACGGGGTTTTCTTCTTGTACATACTTTTCCCTTTGAGAGAGTGAAGGACTGATACCCATACCAAGTTCCTGATCTCTTCTCACCCCGTTGTGCTGTCCCTTTTAAGTTTGTACGATCCTTGATCATAGTTATAAAAAAATAATATCTTTACAAAAAACCAAGCTTTCTCGTTTTCCTTTTTTTTTGGGCTTGGAGAATGTTGGCAATGTGGATACCTGGATCTGACGATGAGGACATATGGTCGGCGGATTTCTGCACGTCGGACCCACCCGCGGCGGGTGTTTTTGTCGCGGGGGGATTTGAGATATCAGACAGTATGGGATAGTAAAGCCATCGTCGTCAAGTGATATCTATTTCATTTTTCATTTCATTTGACACGTCTTGCATCACGGATGTGCTCGGGGTTGTCAAAAGAGAGTTTGCGGGATGGACTGTAATGCATGGCTAGTCGTGGGGTGGTGCGCTAGCCTAGCATCACTGGCAGTTGCTTTTTAAGCACCGTAAGATGTTTTCGTCTGAGAAAAGAGAGTCCGATGGTGCGACAAAAGATAAACTCCCCCGCCCCGCTTTTAACACATGGGGTGGGTTCTTGCAAAAGTGCTGTATCGATGCTGAGTTCTTAACCCCATGGGTATATCATATGAGTATCATGGAAGACGGTGCAAATGGACTCTTCCCGCGTATGCGAAAAGGCCTACGGAAAAGCGCCGTTGGCTCAGTAGAAGGTGGGTGCGGTCGCAGGCTTTTTCTCGTTGACTATAGTACCGGTAGGCAGAGTGGGGGCGTTTGTGGGGTGGGGTTTTTTGGTTGTACGAGAATCACGGTTTGACAACTTTGACTGACAGCACGGAGACTCAAGTGACCTTTTCGTGGCCATTCACTATCGCTTTCTGTCCCATTATCTCTCCCACTTGCTGTCAATACACTTCAAAACTCGACCACCCCACCCGTGGCAAAACCCACCTCCTCCACCGATCGGATCCATCTCTCCTCCTCGCATTCCCACCGCACCATGAACGCGTCGTCCGCCAGCCTGACGACCCCGTCGCCGCTCTCGCGGTCGAATTCCGCAGCGACGGCTCCCATCATATACGAAATCAACCTGTCCGTGCCTGCCGACAAGTACGCGGGGTACCTGGAATACCTGACGAATTTCGTCAAGCAGACGTGTGGCGAGATTGATGGTACGTTGTGGGGACTCCCATACATGGAGACACCGCGCGACGACGAGGGATGGTGTGCCAAGGCGCATGTGAATGTAAAACGGAGGCGCTACTTGAATGTAGAATAGTGTAGCGTGAGAGATAATGGGGCATGTGTGATGTTGGTCCTTGAGCGGGTGGGAGGGGGTTGAGGGGGGGATCGGCCTTGGACGACCACGGGAGGTCGGGTCGTAAAAGCTGTCCTCCATGTCTGTGGGACTGGGGGGGGGGGGGGAACGAGGGACTCAGTGTCATGACGGGTTTATCTCACCTCCCTGCTCACTGTTTGGCTATCTCGTTGACATCTCTGGTAGGCTTCACAGGGGCGCAGGTCTTCACGCAGCCAAAACCAGTCGGACTCCACTGGTTGAGCGAAGAGGGGTCAGCAAAGGTACCGCTAACGCAACGCCCGTGTCGTGCAATTTCTGAATCACCCTCTCACACATCTCTCATGTGTCGTTCGTTTTTCGTCCGTCGCAAGGCGTATCTCACCGTGCACTACCACGTCGCCTCCCAAATCCACCTCGACCTCTACTTGAAAGACCACCAACACCGGTACGTACGAAATGCGTGAATGCACACCAGCCCGCCCCATTTCATTTTTTTTTGGTTATCTCTCTGTGCCACCCCCCACCGCAAACATCCACTCACAACGAGCGCCTTGTTCTTGTTCTCTCTCCTTTTATAGAGTCGCGGAGGCCGACCAGGCAAAGTGGGAACACCTCGTCACGTCCCGCAGAATCTTGCGATTGAACTTCAGTACCATCGAGGGATAGACTCGTGTCAATCGGACCCCCTGCCATTACCCTTCTTCCTTTCACATTCAGCTCTGCAGCAATGGTAGCTAGACATTAAACCTAGCCTGATGTATTTACCTTCCCCACCATCCCCCTCCCCGCCATATCCCACATCAAATAGCATCGAAAACAAACTCACACTGTCGCAGTCCCCGTATGAACGCGTAGCTGGCGGAGTAGCCAAGAGGAGAGGTGGTCAAAAACAAACGAAAAAGAAATGCATTGGCCGAGAATCGAACTCGGGTCTACCGCGTGGCAGGCGGTAATTATGCCACTAAACCACCAATGCTTCGATGTGCTGGTGGGTTGCCATTACTTGGGGAAATAGATGAGGTGCCAAGTAGCTTTGACTAAAAGGTGGCTATATAACATTGCAGTGGGACTGAAGCGACCATACCGTTGTCCCCTGTTCGAGTGTAGATCTTCATGGTGGAGTGATGAGTGATAGCTAGATAGGAATTGGAATGCCAGAGGTGAGAAATTTAAGGTGAGGATTGTGTGACAAGCGCGTTCGGACGTGTGACAAGCCCCAACTCCAGAAGTGTCAAGCTTTTCGCAGCCGCTGGATCCCTTGTTTACCTCTTATCCCCTCCTTGCGTTTTTTATTCGTTGTTCTCGCCCAGAATTACCATCAAACAGATCCACACACACACACACACACACACGCTTCCAACACGCAGATCCTTGAAATAGAGTCACTGCTGGACTGGATAACCGCCGCATTTAGGAATACGGGTTTTTGCGCGACAAGCCATTGTCAGACTCGGACTTTCCCATCTCTTCGCACTATTCAGAAAACCACTGGGTACACTTTTCTCAGTTCTCGTGGGCGTTTGACAAACACTCTAGAAACCCCATATCCCCTGTTCCCGAGTACTTTGTGCTAGGCTGCCCCACCATACTTTGTTGGCCCATTGCCTTTGACGCCACCACCACCCCCCACATCTCTCTCTCTCCGCACCAGAGTTTCTCTCTGGAGTTTTCCACGTTAACCCTCATGCCACCTCGAATTTCGAAAAACGACATATCAAACCCGACGCCGCTGCTGTCGCCGCAGCAAGCGCAGGCAGCAGCGGGGATGCACGATGTCATGTTCTCGCCTCGACGCAGCGGAGGCGGGAAACCCAGTGGTGGAGATTCCGGCATCCACCTCAACAACAACAACAACAACAGCAGCAGCAACAACCCAAACAACAACAACAACAACAATAACGCCAACCCCGCCATCAACAGCAGCAACACGGACGACAAATACTTGCTCCACCACCACTACAACAACACCCATCACCAATCGGCAGCTGCGATCCCCCCGTTTTCGGCGGGCCGCTTTGATTCCTCGGCGTCGGTGGCGGGGGGACCCAACGATCCGAGACTCATGAGAGCGAAACTCCCGCCGCCGACCCTGTCGTTTCGCCATTATCAGAGCTTTGTGCAGGCGCTGCAGGTTTATAGACGACAGGTACTGGCGCTTGCGGCTGCGGGAGAGACGTTTGCGAGAGCGTTGGAGGAATTGGCGGATTTTGTACCGGCTGGTAGGTGTCTCCCCCGTCTGTCTGCTTGTGAATAGAGAGGAAACGTTGGGAGCGAGAGCAATGGACTGCAACAATAGTGCCATTGGCGAGAGATGATGACCTCCTTCTGGATAGCACGCGCCACGTCTCTTCGTCTTGCATATAGCATTGTCGTTGTCGCCCGATTGAGCCTTAGATTTGGTGGTTATTCTAACGTTCACCTTCTCCGTTTCTTATCATAGCACAAATACGACATCCCCACGTCGTCGGCGACCTTGACTTCCTGATTGACAGCACACACCTGATTTCCAACGCCCATCAAATATATGTAAGTTTGCGTAGACGGCGAAAACCGCAAAAGGAATTCATCCCTCGTTCAAATGCAAGATATTTAAGTGTTCATTCTCTCTGATTCTCTTAGGCCGAGAATCTAGAGCGCGAATTCGAAATACCCTTGACCGAAAACCTGACCGAGATCAAGGCCCGCACATCGGTCACCCAGTCGGAAAACAAGATCAAGATCTTGGAACTCGTGGACCGGCTGCATGTGGAAGAGAAGGCCCATGGACTTGGGAAGAAGAAGCAGAGAGATATGACTGCATTGCAATCTGTAGGTTTTTTTTTTGTTCGGGATTCGGTCTTTTGTTGGATGGCTCTTGCTTGCCTAGCGCCAGCTTTCACTCACTTAATCCTTCGTTTGTTACTTATATTTTGGTAGTCGCTCAACGTTCGCATGTCCCTCGCCGACGAAATCAAACGGCTGACGATTGAAAACCAGACTATCCACGACACGCTCTCGCACGCCTCCATGTCCTACATTCTCGAAACGAGCGCCGCGGGCGTCCGCGCGGAATTGCAGACTTACGAAACGGTCCATGAAGGTCTGAAAAAACTGGGCGCATTCTCGGATTCTCCAGACCCACACCACCACCACCACCACCACCACAGTCAAACGCAGAGGAGAAATCGCCACTCGAATTACGAACACTACCAGCAACAGCAATATCAGCAGCAACTGCAGCTCGAACAGCAGTTCCACCAGCAAATGCAACTCGCGCAACATCAGCCGGGTGGGTTAGCGAGAGTACAGGAAACGGATGAAGATGCGTGGGATGGACGGACCATTACCAAGAATGACAGTACCGCCCATCGCAACGCTAGTAGAAGCAGAAGCAGCAAGAGCAGGAGTCGGGAGGAGTATGATCCGGATGCTCTCGACTTGGAGTTTGTGAGGAATGCGCTCAAGAATCTGGGGGGAGATTAAATCCACTGGAAAACCAGCATGAACGTGACGAAACGGGGTTCCTCTCCCGTTCGGCCCCCCGCCCAGGATCGCTCTACGCCTCGCAGCACCTCTCTGCTGCCTGCCCCCTTCTTTTATTCTCTGTACCCACCGACTCTGTCAACATCACTCGACCTTCCCGAACGATGGCTTTCGTCCCCCGCTGCACACAAATACATGGCGAAAACGCAGACCAGATATATATATTACACCAAGAAAAACAAGACAGACACTTATTGGAACAATCCATATACATAACATCCCCCCTTGTTTCCCGCCCCCAAAATTTTCGCTTCCTTCCTTCCCACTCCCCCCTGCCCCCCCCCCCCCCCCCCCCCCTCCGGCGCCCCTCTTAACAGTCCAATTTGTAGTTCTCATAGTTAGTACAGTCACATCTCGCCCCCGCGCTTCACCCTCTTTCGCTCCATTTCGTATGTTCTCGTTTGTGTTTAATTTTCGCTTTCATATAGTATGACATCGGGGAGTGGTTAGCTCAATGGTTGTGGATGTCCACGGCGGCGGGTTTTCAAGCCGCTGCAGCTCGGGAAAGAAAGGTTGTTTTGGTGAGGTGCGTTGGTGAGATATCGCCGCCCCTGGTGCCCAACTTTATGATCTCTCGCATTTCCAAGCACATAAAGTGCGCTGGGGTACACGGGATCCTGAATGATTCAACGTCCGTCTCCCGTCTCCGCTCCGCGACCGCATATCCATCAGGGTAGATGATCTGGCTACGACGGATCGAGGGTTGCCGAGGTCGCCAGCAGGCGAGCGTCCACCTGCGTATCAATGGGATCTTGGATGATTTGTGTCTGTCTCCCCTCTACAGGAAATCCCGTAGCGGACATCAGCAGATGTAGAAGCGTCCACCATAGCGTAAGTCAATGTCATTTTTTTTCATTTTGATGTTTGTATTAAAAGACACATGCCAAAGTACCCGACAAAGCGGGGGGGTATAGATACAGTAAGTTCAAGTGTGCCATCTCTAAACGACCGACCCAAAGTTCCTCCACAATTTCCTGATGAACAAGCTCGCGCCCTGCGTATGGATGTACGAGAGCATGAGCGGGCGCGGCGGGGTTTTGCCCGACCGCCACATGGCAGGGACTTGGTACAGCCGGTGGGTGGGTTTGCTGCGGTACAGGTGCGGGTAGGCGCGCGGCGGCGGGAGCTTGGGTTTGGCCGGGTGGTGGACCAAGCCGCCGCCGCTGCGGGTGGGCAGGAAATGCACGCGGGCGGCGGCGTACACTTGGGACGGGGGTGCGAGCGCGGATTGGGTGTGGAAGACGATGGGTGGGCGGTGGGATGATGGGTGGGCGAGGCTTCGGGATTGGAAAAAGTGGACTACCCCCGCCGTCTCCTTTTCATGTAACTGCAGCCGGTGCTCGATCGCACCTTTGGTATCATCAAAGCGGCCGCGGTCATGCAGGCGTTGACGGAGTACGTCCACGGGTGCGTCAAAGTACAGCACCATTGTGGGCTTCCCGATCGTTTGTTCAAACCGTGTAGCCTGCTCGATCGTGCGCGGGTATCCATCAATCAGAATGCCAGTGTGTTTTTTCCGATCGGTTTTAGCAATGGCGTGGGAGAGGATGGTCATGACGATCTCGTCCGGGACCAGTTGGCCCGCCACCAGGACCGCACCAATGCTTTTGCCAATGTGCGTCCCCGCAGCTACCTCGTTGCGGAGAAGTTCCCCCGTGGAGAGGTGCGCGAGGGAGAATTCTTTCGAGAGTTGCATGCTTTGGGTTCCTTTGCCGCTGCCGGGGCCGCCGAGGACGAGGACGATAGGAAGAGGAGGAGTGGTAGCTGTGGTGGTGGTGGGCGTGATTTTGATGGGCCAGGACCGGCGGGTGTGGGCAAAAGAGTCTTGTGGTGTTTGATGATGGGCGGATGTGAGGGTGGTTGCGGCCCGTAATCCGTGAGCTGCGGGTTGCTGCATCCTTGTTTACTGGTCCTTGTGTGGAAGATGTAGGGAGGACCCTTTTATATGATTTAGTTGCAGCTGGACACGACAGAAAACAGAGAACAAAAAGAACAGGAGGAGGGGGGGGGGCGGGGAAGTCTGCTGCATGCTTTTGGCTTCTTATATGATATGGCAAGGTTGTGAGTGCGAGTAATGATTGCGTTATCGTGTTGTTATTTTGTTTACCCAAACGACTTATTTCCATTTAATGTGTTCATTTATGGCTTCGATAAATAGTAACAGTTTGTCGCGAGGCTGGCGGCAGCTGTTGATTTGTTCGAAATCGCGCGTTTTCCAACCGCCGAAGAGACGGGCGGGCGGTCGAGGGGCGGGACGTGGCGACTCAGAGTTTTCCATAGTTTGTTGCCTATGCTATCATGTTCGCGTGTGGGCAACTATCTACTTTATGTAATGTCATCAGCGTTGTCATAATGTCAAGTTAATTTCTCGTCCGCCTTGCGCGTGCTTGTCAAGTATGCACCCGATGGATGAAGTCAGTGTGTGGGATTCAGGTGATATACTGCTGGAACCCA